CCTGCCTCAGCCTCCTGAGTAGCTGGGATTACAGGCACGCACCACCATGCCCAGCTAATTTTTTGTATTTTTAGTAGAGACAGGGTTTCACCATGTTGACCAGGATGGTCTCGATCTCTTTACCTCGTGATCCACCCGCCTCGGCCTCCCAAAGTGCTGGGATTACAGGCTTGAGCCACCGCGCCCGGCCGCTGTTCATATTTTGAAGTGGAGCTGCTAAACAGCTGGCATGTGGCCAGGCTGAACATGTTGAATGATAGACTTAGAGTGGGCAATTGGATGCAGCCCTTCCCATTTTATGAGAGGTCCCCAAAATGTTGGAATCTCTAAGTCCTCCAATGACCTGCCTGGAAGGCCTAAGCTTCATTAGTGTTCTAGGAGTCCAATAGGCAAAGGGCTGAGGGGCTAACTGCCTTTACTTAACTCCTTTTTGTTTCCCCAATGAAATTACTCCTTTTTGCCCTCAGCTATCCAGGGATCTTCTGTCCTAAACTCTAGTATCCTACAGGTCCCCTCCATATTCTAGGTAGAAGGGGTCTTATGGGAGACTAGAGCCGGGATGAGAGATGTGAGGATTTAGCCTCAGAACTCTATGAAGATTTTCCACCAGCTTCCCTGTGTTCAGTCCACTCTGCATCATGGTCTTCAGATGTCCCTATTGCCTCTGATGTCCTGTTTCTATCTTTGAGGAACATTTTGTATATATAGAGGCTGTCTAATCCTCGAAGGTTCAGAAAAAACATTTTTTAAAACTATCTGTTCGTGGTGTTTACTTTTCATTATAGAAAAATTTTCAAGCACAACAAAAGTAAAATAAATTATTATGGCCCTATTAACTTAAAAATCACATAATCTATGCATTTGAAGAGAAAACTTTATTTCTTGTAAGGATTATAGCCTGCAAGATGGCCATGTTCCAGGCTGGGAACCATAGCCTCTGGGTTAGATCAAAGACAGGCACTTCAAAGGAGGAGGGGTAAAGCAGGAATCTAAGTTGAGGTTGGCCAAACATACATATTCAGTAGGTTCCAGGAGGATCTATGAATATTTATGAATGTGGTCCTGATGCTTGTGTATTGAACATACATGCGTATTTCACACACCCATGTTCACCTTGGGGTGGAGCCATATCATTTAAATGTATTACAGTTAGACAGTATATGTTAAAAGGTATTTGTAAGACACAAATGCAGCCAGTGCTTGTTTAGCTGCTAGAGGAAAAGAAAAACCTGTGGCAGTTAGAACACAGTTTATTCTTCAAGTGTAGGGGTGCAGGACTTAACTCTTGCCTGGCCTGGCCTGAGGTCTTGTTTATAGTTTGGTACTTTATTGCCATCAAGAGTCTGTTCTGTCAGTCTTATTCTCTATTTTAAAATAAATCCTGGTCAGTTGTATCTACACTGCAAAAGGGAGAGGATATAACAAGGTATGTCTGAACTCCTACCCTGTCTTGGCCAGGATTTCATTTTTTAATGTATTTCTGAGGCCCCCTTGGCCAAGAGGGAGTCCTTTCAGTTGGTGGGGAGGCTTAGGATTTTATTTTTAGTTTACAACTCTTTTGTATCATAACAAAGCGTCAATAATTATCAATACATGACGGATTGTGGCACCTTCCCACAATCATTTTAATCGCATTGATTAATTTAGGTTTTCTAATTCTTTTAAAGCCAATTTCGATACTTCTATTATTTATGTAGTGAAGTACCCATTTATTAGCCTTGTGGCTAAGAGCTCTAGTTCCAGAAACAGATTGTCTGGATTTGTTTTTCCATGCGGGTAGTCATTTAAGCTGTCTGTGTCTTGAGTTTCCTCATTTGTCAAACGGGAATAATAATGTTATTTATCTCATAGGGTTGTTGAGAAGATTCAATTAAATCATACATGTAAAGCACTTAAAATAGTGTCTGGCACATAGTAATGTCAACTATTGTTATTTAAGTTTTAAAATTAATTGACATGAATTTTTTAATGGAATTATATTACAATTTTTAAATTCTCTGCTACATTTTCAGTTATGTCCCTTTTTTATTCCTAGTGGTGTTTACTTATAAATATTTTCTTTTCTTCTGATTAGTCTTACATAGATTGCCTTTTTTTTTTCTTTTTTATTGAGACAGAGTTTCACCCTGTCACCCAGGCTGTAGTGCAGTGGCACAGTCATAGCTCACTGCAGCCTCAAACTTCTGGGCTTATATAATCCTTCTGCGTCAGCCTCCTGGATAGCTAGGACTATAGCACACCATCACACTTGGCGTGCATATATATGTATATTTTTTTTCTGCAACATACATATAGTAGAGATGAAGTCTTACTATGTTGCCCAGGCTGGTCGTGAACTCCTGGCCTCAAGCAATCCTCCTGCCTCCTGGCCTCCCAAACCAGTGGAATTACAGGTGTGAGCCACCACATCTGGCTCAACTATATTAATAATCTTTTAAATTAAGTATCTTTGGAATTTGTTAACCATCTTATGGTTTCAAATTCTTTATTTCTTTCTTCTTTGTTTCTTTCTTTGTTTTCTTTCTTTTTTTCTTTCTTTCTTTCTTTCTTTCTTTCTTTCTTTCTTTCTTTCTTTCTTTCTTTCTTTCTGTCTGTCTTTCTTTCTTTCTTTTTCTTTCTTTCCTTTCTCTCCCTCTCTCTCTCTCTCTCTCTCTCTCTCTTTCTTTCTTTCGAGACAGAGTGTCGCTCTGTCACCCAGGCTGGAGTACAATGGCAATGTCTTGGCTCACTGCAACCTCTGCCTCCCAGGTTCAAGCAATTTTCATGCCTCAGCCTCCCAAGTAGCTGGGAGGCATGTGCCACCACGCCTGGCTAATTTTTTGTCTTTTGGTAGAGACGGGGTTTCACCATGTTGCCCAGGCTGGTCTCAACTTCTGAGCTCAGGCAATCCACCCATCTTGGCTTCCCAAAGTGCTAGTATTACAGAAGTGAGCCACTGCACCTGGCCCACTTGATAATCTTCTATTTCATTGTTTTCTGCCTTTATCTTTTATATTTACATTCTTCTAATTTCTTTTTCTGTCTTGTTCTTTTTCTAGCTTCTTTAGTTGAATGGTTGTCTTTTTTTTCTTTCTTCCCTTTTTCCTTCATTTCTTCCTTCTTTCCTTGTTCCTTCTAAGTATGCTGCATCCTACAAGTTTCAATATGTTGTAGTTGTAAATGTTGAGTTCTAAATATTTAATAATTCCCATTGTGGTTTCCTATTAAACTCATTATTAGAAATTATTTTATATATAAGCATATTTATATAAAATAATTTTGAATGATGGGTTTAATAGGAAACCACAATAGAAATTTGACTTATATATGTATATACACTATAGAAACACAATGAATTTACTTTTGTGAGACTTTTCTGTGATCTAGTATATGTTCTCGCTTTGTAAATGTGTCATTTGTACTTGAAAAGGAAGTGTGTTCTCTATTTGTTGGAAATTATTCTTCAATTTGTTTATATGTCCTTTTTTTTTTTTTTTTTTTTTTTTTTNTTTTTTTGAGACAGAGCCCTGCTCTGTTTCCCAGGCTGGAGTGCAGTGGTGCAATCTCAGCTCATTGCAACCTCCACCTCCCGAGTTCAAGAAATTCTCCTGCCTCAGCCTAGCAGCTGGAATTATAGGCGCATGCCACCACAACCGGCTAAGTTTTGTATTTTTAGTAGAGATGGAGTTTCACCATGTTGGCCAAACTGGTCTCAAACTCCTGACCTCAGGTGGATCTGCCTGCCTTGGCCTCCCAAAGTGCTGGGATTATAGGCATGAGCCACCACACCTGGCTATATGTCCTTTTGTCTTAGTTTTTTATCTGTATTGAAGTCTCCCATTATGATTGTGGATTTGACCATTTCTCCTTGAAATCCTACCCTTTTTAATGTATACATTTTGAGGCTGTGTTCCTTTTACTTTATAGTCATGAAGGTGAAGGAGGAGAAGGCTGGGGTAGGAAAGCTGGATCCCACTAACCACAGGAGGAGATTTCCGGATCAGAAAGGTGAGGTCACTTTGAGGACTTGATGCAAATCTTAGAAGGGACTGAGAATTCTCTAGGTGTCCAGCTCTTTCAGCTGGAGAGTCTAGGGAGCAGATTCCTTTTCCTGACTCATACACAGTGTCTCCTTAAAGCTGGTAGGACTAGCCTTCATGGTATCCCCAGGTGACTGCATGGTCAGGCCGGAGACAAGAAACTGCCACTTTGCCTATGTGGATTAGAGCATAACTTCCTCAACACAAAATTTAACTCACCTGATTTTGCAAGATCTACAAACCATAATATATGCCAAATATCAACATTTTATATTAATTGACTTCCAAAGTGGCAGCTTGATTAAAACCAGTGCAAGATGATGTTGGGATGGCAAGTATTTCTGTTGCTCCAGAATTGCAGACTTTGGAGGCCCAAAGCCTCATACACACTACAGAGAAGAAGCCATGGGGCTTCTTCTAAAAAGGCAATCAGATGGGTGGCTACTGCCATCATTACTCCAGCCCCACTTGAAGAAAAATACCAACCTCAATGCCCACCTAGAGGCTTGGTGAGCTGTGGAATGTGTAGAGCCACTCTGGAGCTGTCAAGCAAGAAGAATGCCCTAAAGAGTTGCTAGGAGAGCTTGGCACATGTCCTGAGCCAAACTGCAAGATGCTTATAGTAAAAGGAGAGTTCCTGCGGAGCCATGAAGGAGAATGTGTAGTCTTGGGGGAGGGCAAGCCACTCCCCACAGTTCACCAGCTAAATCACCATGCTCATTTGATTATGATAGAAGCCAAGAAAAGATGGGACAATTTAGATTCAGGGCAGAAAGCAAAATATTTTTTTGACAGCCATCTCCTCTGATTTCTTTAGTAAGTATAATCTTCCTGTGTATAGTCCCTTACAATTTGCATAGTCATGTTCTTGTACATGATCCCATTCTATCTTTTTAAAAGCCAGTTTGGTAGAGAAAAGATTTTCATTCCCACATTACAGATCAGTTCATTGAGTCCCAGAGTGGCAGGATGGCCACCGATCCAGTGAAGGACAAGCCAGGGAACACCTAGGGCAGCTGCCTCTTGAGCAGCTTTCTGTTATACCTGCCTTTCTGTTATACCTGCTTCTTTTCATTTCCATTCCTGGCCTCAAGGGTGGAGAATAGGAACTTGTTAGAAGATCAAATATGCTAAACCCTTAGAGTGGAACTACTTACCTCTGAATGCTGATGTCTACTGCTTATCTCAAATTCCAGCTTGCTTAAACAATGCAATGTAGGGAAGGGAAGTTCCACCATGATGTGGGGAGGTAAGAAGAGGAAGAAGGGAAATTAGTCATTCTGACACCCATCCCCTAGGAAGAGAGGCCACACTTCTTAAGAATCTCGATGTCACTTTCTTCATCCGTGTTACATCCAGGAGAAAATAGGATCCAGAAGAGCATGCAGTGGAGGGAGCTGGGACTTTAGACATATTTGAACACTGACATCCAAGTAACCTGACCCCTAGTACCTAGGAATGTACCAACCAGAGTAGACTCATACAGAGTCTATTCACTAGAGTACATTCAACATCTCTCTAAAAGGCTTAGACATGTTTCTCCACAGTTCAGCTGGGAAACAGTATAGTGTTATTTGAAAGTTGACTTAGATTACTTCTAACTGTATATTGCAAAGTCTAGAGCAACCACTAGAATTTGTTAAGAGGTATAATTGATATGCTCAGAGATGAGAGAAAACAGAATTATATAAACTGCTCAATTAAAGCCAGAGAAAGAGCTGGGCATAGTGGCGTGTGCCTGTAGCCCCAGCTACTCAGGAGACAGAGGCAAGAGGATTGCTTGAGGCCAGGAGTTTGAGGCCAGCCTGGGCAACATAGCAAGACCCTGTTTCTTAAAAAAAAAAAAAAAAAAAAAAAAAAAAACCAATTTTTTAAAAAAAAAAAAAAAAAAAAAAAAGACCAAAAACAGAAGATTTTAAAAAAGGACAAATGCAACAAATATAAAAAAGTTGTAAACATGGTAGATATTAATCCAGTGATATAAATAATCACTTTATTAGTTAATTAATTTAGAGATGAAGTCTTGCTCTGTCACCCAGGCTGGAGTGCAGTGGTGTGATCTCAGCTCACTGCAACCTCTACCTCCTGGTTCAAGCAATTCTTGTGCCTCAGACTCCCAAGTAGCTGGGACTTCAGGCGCATGCCACCACAACCAGCTAATTTTTTGTATTTTTAGTAGAGATGGGGTTTTACCATGTTGGCCAGACTGGTCTTGAACTCCTGACCTCAAGTGATCCACCCACCTCAGTCTTCCCAAGTGCTGGGATTACAGGTGTGAGCCACTGCACCTGGCCAATAATTACTTTAAATATAAATGGTCTAAACATATCAATTAAAAGACAGAGGATGTTGGAGAGGATCAAAAAACAAGACCCAATAATGTAACAAGAAACCTACATTAAATATAAAGACGCAGGCCAGGTGTGGTGGCTCCCACCTGTAATCCCAGTACTTCGGGACGTTAGGGTGGGCAGACTGCTTGAGGTCAGGAGTTTGAAACCAGCGTGGCCCACCTGGTGAAACCCCATCTCTACTAAAAACACAAAAATTAGCCAGGCATGGTGGCACACGCCTGTAATTCCAGCCACTCGGGAGGCTGAGGCAGGAAATTACTTGAACCCAGCAGGTGGAGGCTGCAGTGAGGCAAGATGGTGCCACTGTACTCCAGCCTGGGTGACAGACCAAGACTCTGTCTCAAAGAAAAAAAATATATTTTTATATGTATTTTTATGTATGTATGTATTTTTATATGTATATATATTTGTGTTTATACATATACGTATATGTATACACACACACATGCACACACACATATATACACACACACATATATAGACACAGATGGATTAGAAGTAAAGGGAGGAAGAAAGATATACCATGATAACACTAATCAAAAGAAAGCAAGAATAGCTGTGTTAATTTCAGACAAAGAAGAATTCAGAGCAAAGAACATCTCTTTAACAGGGATAAGGGAGAGCATTGCATCATGATAAAAGGGTTAATTCTTCAGGAAAATGTAACAGTCCTTAACATGTATGCACCTAACAGCAAGCATCAAAATACATGAGGAAAAAAAAAAAAGACAAAGCTGCAAGAAGAATAGACAAATTAGCAATTATGGTTGTAGCGTCCAACACCCATCTACCTGTAATTGGCAGATCCAACAGGCAGAAAATCAGTAAAGATAAAGTTGAGATGAACAACATATTAATCACCTGGATTTAATTGACATTTATAGAATACTTCGTCAAACAACAGCAGAATACCCATTCTTCTCAAGCTTGTGTGGAGTATCCACCAAGACAGACCACCTTCTGGGACATAAAACACATCTGAACAAATTTAAATGAACAGAAGTCTTACAGAGTAGGCTGTAACACCACACTAGAATTAAACTAAAAATCAATAACAGAAAGACTACTGGAAAATCTCAACATATTTAGAGATTAAACAATACACTTCTAAATAATATATGAGTTAAATAAGAAGTCTTAAGAGAATTAAAAAAATATTTTACACTAAATGAAAATGAAAATTCAACTTATCAAAATTTGTGGGATGCAGCAAAAGCAGTGCTTAGAGGAAAATGAATAACTTTAAATGCATATATTAGAAAAGAAAAAAGACCTAAAAGCAACAACCTAAGCTCCCATTTTAGGAAACAAGAGAAGGAATTGCAAAATAGTCCTAAAGCAAGAATCAAAAAGGGATAATGCCAAATAGAGCAGAAATCAATGAAATTAGAAACAGGAAACAATAGAGAAAATCAATGAAACTGAAGCTATCTCTTAAAAAGATTAATAAAATTGATTAATCTCTAGCCAGGCTAACCAAGAAAAGAAGGGAGAAGACATACATTACTAATATCAGAAATGAAAGGTGATCACTGTTGATTCCATGGACATTAAAAGGATAACAAAGGAATATTATGAACAACTCTATGCCTACAAATTTGATAATGTAGGTGAAATGGACTAATTTCTTGAAAGACACAAACTACCAAAACTCACACAGGAGAAATAAATAATTTGAACGGGCCTATTACTATTAAAGAAGAAATAGATAATAATTAACAACTTTCCAAAAAAGTAAATAAATAAACAGCAACAGGTCTCGATGGTTTCACTAGTGAATTCTACCAAACGTTTGAGGAAGAAATGATATCAATTTTCTACAATCTGTTCCAGAAAATAGAAGCAGAAGGAATACTTTCTAATTCTATGAGGTCAGCATTATCCCAATACAAAACCAGATAAAAACATGACAAGAAAGAAACTACAGACCAATATCTCTCATGAATATATATATAAAAATCATCAGCAAAATGCTAGCAGATAAAATTCAATAATGTATAAAAAGAATTATACACCATGACCCAAAAGGATTTATCCCAGCTATTTAAGGCTGGTTCAGTATTCAAAAGTCAGTTAAGGTAATTCATCACATCAACAGGCCAAAGAAGAAAAATCACACAATAATATCAATAGATGCAGATAAATCATTTGACAAAATCCAACACCTATTCATAATAAAAACTCGCAGTAAACTAGGAATAGAGAAGAATTTCCTGAACTTGATTTTTTTAAAAATCTACAAAAAACCTATAGCTAACATCATACTTAATGGTGAGAAACTTAAAATCTTCCTACTGAGATCAGGAACAAAGCAAAGAGATCCCCTTTCACCAGCCCTTTTCAATATCGTACTGGAAATTTGAGCTAATACAGTAAGACAAGAAAATAAAATAAATGTATATAGTTTGGGAAGGAAGAAATAAAACTATCTTTCTTCACAGATGATATAACCGTATATACAGAAAATCCCAAAGAATTTACCAAACAACTCCTGTAACTAATAAGTAACTATTACAAGGTTTTGGGATATGAAGTCTTAGGATACAAAAACAGTTACTTTTCTATATACCAGCCATTGGAATTTGAAATTTAAGACATGATACATTAGCACCAAAAAGTTTATGCATAAATCTAACAAAATATATACAAGATCTATATGAAAAAAACTATAAAGGTAATGAAAGAAATCAAAGATCTAAGTAAATGAAAAGATATTTCATGTTCATGCATAGGAAAATTCAACCTTGTTAAGTTGTTAGTTCTCCCCAGCTTGATCTATAGATGCAATATAATCCCAATAAAAATCTCAGCAAGTTATTTTTTTGGGGGGGGGATGCTGACATATTGATTCTGAAGAGTTTATATGGAAAGGCAAAAGACCCACAATAGCCAACATAACACTGAAGAAGTACCAAGTTGAAGAACTGACGCTACCCAACTTCAAGACTTACTATAAAGCTGCTAATATCAAGTGTGATATTGGCAAAAGAACAGACCAATTGATCAGTGGAACAGAATAACTATCCCAGAAATGGACCCACACAAATATAATCAACTGATCTTTGACAAAGATGCAAAAGCAGTTTAATGGAGGAAGGGTAATATTTTCAGCAAATGATGATGACTGGACATTCATATGTTTAGAAGAAATGAATCCAGACCAGGTGCAATGGCTCATGCCTGTAATCCCAGCACTTTGGGAGGCCAAAGTAGGAGTATTCTTTGAGCCCAGAAGTTCAAGACCAGCCTGGGCAACATAGAGATTTTGAGACTACTAAAGATTTAAAAATAAAAATAGCTGGGCATGCATGCTTGTGATCTCAGCTACTCTGGAGGCTGAGGTGGGAGGATTGCTTGAGCTCGGGAGGTCAAAGCTGAAGTGAGCCACGATCATGCCATTGCACTCCAGTCTGGGTGACAAAGTAAGACTCTGTTTCAAAAAAAGAAAAATCAGACATAGTCCTTACACCTTTCACAAAAATCAACTCAAAGTGGATCTTAAACCTAAATGTATAATGCAAAACTATAAAACTTCTGAAAGATAACATGGAAGAAAATGTAGGTAACCTTGGGCCTGGTGATGAGATACAACCCTAAAAGCACAACTGATGGAAGAAAAAAATGGTAAGCTGGACTCTATTAAAATTAAAAACTTCTGCTCTATGAAAGACTTTTAAGAGAATGAAAAGAAAACCCACAGACTAGGAGAAAATATTTGCAAAAGGTATTATCTGATAAAAGACTCACATCTCAAAATACAAAAAGAACTCTTAAAACTCAACAATAAGGAAACAAACAACCCAATTTAAAAATGGACAAAAGGGCCGGACAAGGTGGCTCACACCTGTAATCCCAGCACTTTGGGAGGCAAAAGCAGGTGGATCATGAATGCGTCAGGAGATCAAGACCATCCTGGCCAACATGGTGAAACCCCATCTCTACCAAAAATATGAAAAAAAATTAGCTGGGTATGGTGGCACATGC